CGCCCAACGTGCGATTTTCCCAACCCACCAAATTAATTATAAAGGCAACTGCTTGTTGACGCAGCCTCGAATACAATAACGTAAGTCGGTTAATTGGAATTAGATGGGAAAATGTATGTTAATGAATTATATAACAGTATCAGAATATAGAAAATGTTTACACGGTAGAGTCCTTCAGGCCACAGTGACTATTGTCCTTCAGTTCCCGTGGCAGGTTCCTGTAAGCAAAAGCGAAAATTTTTCATCCTTCTTAAGGCTCAGAAAGTAATAGATTTAACAACGTTTATTAAGCAGTGTATTTAGTAAATTCATGAATACAGGGGAGATGTTTTCTTTATAATTCATACTCAGAATTTTCAGGCCACTAACATAGTGTTTATGAAGATTTTGGAATATGGCCTCTCAATGGTAAGTTCAAAAGGATTTTACCGCGTCTTCTGCCGGCGACAGACTGGGGCGTCAGTTCCTCGTAGCTGCTGAATTGTTGGATTAAATCAAATAATTCGAATTACCTTCTCAGCGGATTCCCAACGCTCGGATCTCCCGCCGTGCCTGTCTCTGGCGCCATTGAACCGTGTAATGGCGCATTTACGTAGTTCCCCACTTGGGGACTTTCTGATAGAAGGGCTTAGCCTAATAGCGTCGGCGCCGGCTAAAATATTTTTATTTACTAAAGAAGATAGTATAAAGTTTAGCACTAGAGAATGCCTTTTCATCTGTCGACCCTTTCCAACAGAAACTGAGACAACGGACAGCTGTGTAGCCTAGAAGTCGTATTATGCATACGTATATATTGAAGGGTTACGGGCAGAGCCCTTGATGACCCCATTTTTGTACAGTACTTTCGCAGATTCATACTCAAAAATAAAATAAAATTGCAGGAATTTAAAATGAGATTGGATCACAGTTCAATCGTAATCATAAGGTAGTGCATAGGGTCACTGTAAATTAATGCGGAAGATTGTATATGACAGATTTTACAAAACTGACTGTGTATAGTCATGCTGTACAAACCGATTTCTGTCGAAAACTAGACGAGCAAGTTTTCTTTTAAACACACAAACTGTGTCAGTCGTCACCATCTCGCTTGGAAGCGAGTTCCGCGGCCGGACAACCCGCTGGCTGAATGAAAATTTTCGTCGGTCTAAACGCGTGCGCTCATTCCCGACTTTGTATGCATGGCCGTATAGTTGGTTTGTACGGGCGAACTCAAAGAAGTCCTCTGCTCTTAATGAACAACCCTGGCCGCGAACAATCCGGAACGTCCAGACTAGACTGCAGTTTATTTGTCTATAAGAGAGAGGGAATAGGCCAAGCAAATTCAGCCTCTCCTGATAAGACAAATGCTTTAGACCGTCGACCATCTTTGTCGCTCTGCGTTGCACCTGTTCGAGTAAGTTGATATCCTTCCTCATCCATGACGCAGCTGCTGGCATTCCATACTCTAGATGAGGTCTTACATAGACGCCAAAGAGTCTTTCGATAAGATCGGGAGGAAATATTTTAAATGCACGTCTGATCCAGTGTAGAGTACTAGTTGCCTTCTGGACCATCTTTCTACAGTGTACTGATGGTGATAGATTTTAAGTCGCCCATACACCCAGATCTCTGTGTCTTTCCACAGTTTCTAACCTCGTCCCGTCAATATAGTACTGGTGTTTGGGAGAGGCATTGCGGTCGGTGTTCAGGTGCAAAACCACGCATTTTGACACGTTAAACTTCAAAAGCCATCTGTTCGACCAAGCACACAGTTTGTTGATGTTCGACTGCAACTTCTCTACGTCATCATCACACTTGACTTCACTCCATATTTTTATGTCATCCGTGAACATGAGAGCCTCGCAATTTACTTCGCTGATGCAGTCAATAACATAAATCAGGAAGAGTCCTGGGCCTAAGACAGAACCCTGTGGGACACCACTTTCCACCTTTACCCATTCCAAGGTAGAATTACTAACGACTACTCTTTGTAGTCTGGAGCACAGAAAACTCCTGATCCACTTAAACATTCTTCCTTGAATTCCTACATCCCAGATCTTCTGTAAAAGAAGCCTATGTGGGACACTGTCAAAGGTCTTCTTGAAGTCAAAAAATATGACATCTAATGGAAAACCCTTATCGGTAGCTCGTGTCGATTTCTCGTGCGAGTAAAGAACAATCGTTAGGCAGGAGGGCCCTGAACTAAAGCCGTGTTGGGCACCACACAATATTTTGTTATGTTCCAGGTATTTCATCAAGTGTCTTTTGATAATGCGTCCCATTATTTTACACGCGATGCAAGTAAGACTGACAGGACGATAATTTCCGCAGTCAAGTCTTGAGCCTCCTTTATGGATCGGAGTAATGAGTGCGCACTTCCATTCTTCCGGGAGCTCGCCGTCTTGAAATGAATTTTGAAATATTGCGGATAAGGGTTTGCACAGTTCATTAGCAAGTTCACGATGTGCTAGGACGGGAATTCTATCTGGGCCAGGCGCTTTGACAGGTCTCAGTCGGAGTAGCTCGGCCCTAACTATGGTAGATGAAAAGGGTGGTTCCTCGGCTAAGGAGGGTAGGGAGGGGATAGGAGGGGGGAAGGGTACTGGGAGGAGAAGTTGGTTGGCGAATGGATGGATGGACAAATACAGAACTAGGTTCTCTGGTGAAGACGGACTGAAAGAATTCGGAAAGGAGGAACGCTTTAACTTGGTCATTAATCGCCACTTTTCCATCTGCAGACCTAAGGGCAGGGATGAGCTCCTGAGTCCTTTTAGTACTTCGTATATAACCATATAGAATTTTCGGATGCTCCAACGAATTTCGGAGTGCGTTCAGTTCAAACTTCTATCGCAGCTTTGAGGCCTCACTTTTACACACGTTTCGTTGACACTTATATTCCTGTAAGTGTTCTTCGGAGACAGTTCGTCTGTAAGGCCTCCACAGACGATTCCTTTTTTTGAAAGAGACCTTCAAGTCCGGGTTAATCCATTTTGGGCGGTTTGTGATTGTCTTTCTTCTGAGAGGACAACTGGAATAAACAATCTCTTTCAGTAAGGAACTGAAAGTTTTGCAGTTGTCGTTTGTTCGTAAAAAGTATGCAGACGAATTCCTGTGAAGTCTGTACCCAAACTTAACCGAGAAATAAATTTATTGTAGTCCTCTTTGGTGCGCAACGGCGGATTTGATATTTTCGCCGTCTGTCTGACAGGGACGGCGTTAGCCTACACTGCTCGCAGATTCTTGGATAAAGTTGCTTCTCGTTCTGCTATTTCATTAGACTTGGCGACAACCTGCTCGGCCATATAATTCATCTTCCTCCTATGCTGTTTTTAAGGTCATGTGATTAATCTTACCGAAGGCACTCCACTTCTTTGTGAATCTGCGAACAGCAATATTGTGGGGTAGATTCGTTTGAATTTCCGATTGGCATTCTAAACTGTAAATCAGAGAATATGCCTACTGGTGGGGGACAACCATTGGAGGCCGGGTTGGTCTACTCAGCGCCCGCGAGGTGCTCGGCGGATTCTCGTCTTGCCTTGCCCTACAAGTCATTTGAGATACTTAGGCTTAATAGACGATTGGTGGTGGCGATGGCTAACGAATCACTCTCCGCTCAGGCCGCTTTCGAGGGCAAAAGTCCTCCCAGTCATCTTCCGAATCGGACGTCAGTCTGCGGACATGTCTAGGAAAATATCGTAGATGTATGGGAGACATACTTGATCCTCCTACCTCTACCACAAATCGGCTGGCTCAGAGTTGGACCAGTCATCCGTGTCCTCTGCTCTCCTCAAGAGCCGCTTGGCCCTCTCCAAAGTCAGGTTATCCCCTAGGACTCTGAATGAGTGGATGTCCGTCTTCTCAGATGGCTCGAGATTTCCTGTTAACAAATACTGTCTGTGATTGCGATTCTAATGCCAACGTATGCGACTTTCACCGACAAATTACGCCTTGGCCACGGCGTCCACTGAGTTTTCGTCAATGAACTCAACAATTGCGTACATCTGGGTCAGTCGTATAGTTCAAGAAATACAGATTAAGCATAAATCCACAGTCAAAAAAGTCAGTTTACATTGTACATACGTAAAGGCGGAAAAAAGAAAAACTGCCCATTAACGTTAAACAAAACATATTTACAAACAACGTCAGAAAGGGTAGCGATGGAGGGTGTACTTGATAAAACGGTTGCTTTGAAAATATCTAACTTTGAAGAGGAGAGAGAATTGGTAAAATATCCTAAGAGTCAAAAAAGGGGCGGAAGGGGATTTCTTTTGCCTACACGGATGTTAGTACGCTTGGTCGACGTCCTATAAGCACTATATTATCGGGCGACACTGTGGACAGGACAATGGCAGAGGACCCGCATAGTAGCTTAAATGGGCGTACGACCCCATGGTCGTCGCCCAACAGCATTGGACCTGTTAGCAATTGAGGTAGGCGTCTGTGAGAAAGCCTTCTATAGATGTGTGCGGCAACATATGTTTGCCCACTTATGCTTTTACGAACCGTTTGTGAAAAGGACTCAAATGGAAACGCAGACAAATTATTCAAAATACCAAAATTTTTAACGTCCTTCTGCAAATGCACAAGACAGTAAACAATGTAAACTACGTCATTCGGATTATAGAGATCAACACAATCAGAAACAAAGACATATATATATTTATACATATATATTTGCGCAATTCGACTTAGCTACCAGTCAGCTATGACTCCACTTGCAGGTCCTTGTAGGAAGGCGCCCTACAATAAATAAATCCAAGGCTTGGACTGGAGAGCTCGAATAACGAACCTTTCGTTGTAAATGACTCTCGAGTTACTCAGAACCCTTGTTTTTCTTTTCCAATTTATATTAAGACAGGAGAAAATTGACCAGGGACATTTTTAATATAGTCAACAAAACGCATGTACTCGGGTGGCCATTTCGATCCGATATGTTAAATACAAAAAAAGCAGAGGAAAATTGCGGATCGCATTTTTCAGAAATTTATTTGCAGGCATGTAGCCTGCGTGGACTTTGCCCAATGCAAGTCGTTACCACACAAATCGCAAAAAGAACACTTGAATTAAACGTAGATAACATTGCGTAAGATATGATTTTTAATGCCTTATGCCTTAGTATGAACGAATGGGAACCAATTTTAAAAGCTGTTAGCGCAAACAAGTTCCTATGTCTTATAGCATTTAGAAGTTCCCTTGGATTTGAATCAGGTTTGTCATTTGTCAATTTTTAATCTATTTTTACCTTTCATTCGAAACTTCTAAACGTCTCTTTGGTACTACTAACTGCGCGTTGTTTAGCACGATTTTTATTTATATTATTTGTTAATGTTTGCAGGCGTTCAATTGGTCACTGTGACAGCACCACCTAGTAAATTTGGGGAGTCAGAAAACAGATAAAATGTAAAAAGATATTTACTCTTTAATGAGAAAATGCGGATGCCAATGACAAAACCTTAAAGTTTGAGTTTGTTTCGTAAGGGCCCTCTCAATAACTGTATTTGTATGCATGAAGACACTCGTTGACCATCTATGGTTGGTTGGTTGCAATCAACATTAAGAAGAACGCGGACTAGAAGATAGAATGAGGAAAGTCGGAGTAATTTTTTCTAGCTTAAATAATAGTATTGGGACGCAAAAAGAAATAACAACGAAGTCTTAGATTGCGCAAAATGTATTGAAGGCATGGACGCTGGCAAAACGCATTGCCATAAGTATTCGCAATGCGCTTACAATAGGTATACTATATATAGTGACCGCTTGCCACTTAGCTATCTTCGAATGCTAAAAACTCGATCCAGATATTTCCGAGTCAGGTTTCGTCGCGTTGTGCCTTATTCAAATTTCTATATTTTCCTGAAAAACGCGTACGGCTGTTGTTGCTGTTACTCTAAGAACCTATGTAGGAGGTTGCAAATTCCTACATAGGTTCTTAAAAAACAGCAACAATAGACCTAGGAGTTCTTTGGGAAAACATAGAAACTTGAATTAGGCACAACGCGACTTACTCTGGCTCGGACGTATCTGTATCCAGGGTCGCTAACAGCCTACCACAGCACGTTTACGTGGTTTACGACAACAGTGCCGCAACTAAGCAAGTCTTTTTGAACATACGTATGCAAATAGAATTGGCTGATCTTTGCATTAGCACAATCCTACCGTATTCTGGCCAAACTGTCTATCGTAACTATCTTTACCTTGGTAACTTTGTCTGTCACATTCTTTCCGCTGTATAGCCATTCAAAATCATTGTAAACGGCCTAGGTCACACACAAAACATACATGCTTTTATTTTAAAGAGGTCAGGCTCCTGTCTGTACTTATGTCGACCGAACAGAAGTTCAGGAACTTCAACAGTACAAGCAAACATCAACTTAAATGACAACAATCTTTCCGTTTACTGAAAGCACTATTGCTGCAGGATGCTTTTTTCCATAGTGAAACTAACATAAATGTCAATGATCGAGGTTAAAAGTCGCATTTTTCACTTTCTTGTCTTCTGCAGATGTAAATGAGGGGAGTAAACGGAGAAAGAAATTGAATTTTCACTCTCCAAACATCTACAGTTCAATTTGTAAAGCATTGCGATCTTGCCTTCCAGTCAGCAGAGAGCTCAATTATCTTGAGCTTCAAGGACTTTCGCTTTCCCTCAAAGATCTTTTGACAATTTGTCAGGTTAGTTGAACTGTTAATCATTGTTTGTTTATTGTACCTCAACTGTCTAATTTCGCCGTCAACCTTGCTTTCACCAGTTTACTGATTCGAACATTAAAAGACCGAAGTGGTCCGTAAGTAGTCCTGTCAAAAGCACGTTGTCCGATTTTGGAGTTATTCCTAAACTCAAACCACCAGTAGCTGGTTAGAGACCCTAAAGTCCTCAGCTTAGGTGTAGCGGACATAGTTATATGACAGTCAAATGTCGTCTTAATGACATAAGCAGCCTAATAAATATGCAATTGTCTACTAGGACATCTCGGTCTAGACTGTGCCCAGATAACTGTCTTAACAGACTCAGCAAAACGACAGTCTGGATGGCCAAAGAAAACCTCCTTACTTACTGAGTTCATATATTGGCCTACATAAGGCGAACTTAAAACGCGTGCGATGTTATAGAACCCTGCCAACTTACTTTTTCTGCGCTGAGCTTATTTTACTTACAACGTAACTTTAACGTTATTGCCAAACAAAGTAGCCTTATCGTCCTACCAACCTCGATAGGCACTACGCGGATGCTTTTTCTTTCCCGCTCCTCGGGAGCGGTGCTTCGTGACATATGAGTCACCTGACGTAATTAGTTCTCCTTTTGCCGTTTATTGTTGAGGACTTGATGTTCCGGCCCCTGATGCGATTGCACCCTTGACGGCTGGGTCTTACTATCTTTTAGCTTGGTCTCAACTAGCGAGGCGAAATTAACGGTGAGAACTGCCATTACATAGGTCCATCGACATTTCCGGAGACGCAAGTGATATGATAACCTTCAGGTGGTTTGGAAGTATAATGGATTGAAAAAGTGAGACCTAGTGAAGCCAATTTCCGAACTGCCCTGAGATGCGGTGAATCTCGACGAAGGAGGTAGGGCAGGTATTCCAAATCTGCTGTAGCGTGGAAAAAGCATTAACTGCGGCAGTACTGACAGGAACTCCGTCGTCAATAATGGCAGTCTTATCGACTGGGAGTTGAAACGCAACACTACACGAATACTATAATGGAAAAGATAGTAGGAATTTGTTTGGGGCTTCGGGTTGCGTGCGGCGGCCAAGATATTTGACATATTTGAGAATTCTCTTATCTGAGATCAGAGTAGCTGTATGTTTAAACTGTGAACAAACACGAAATGTTCGTTGTACACTTGTGAGTGGGTGAGAAAAAAAAGTGTACTCGTCCACAACATCAAAACATCGTTTACAATTAGTTTCCCGTCATTTCATGATATTTGACAGTTCGACCATCGTGACCGACGACCTTCACTACGAGCTGCATAGCAGTATGAGAGCAGGCACAGTGTCCTGCGCGTGAATAAGTTTATTTTGGCATAGACTTGCGTAGCATCTACCGCACTCAGTCCTCATCCACTCAGGGCAGGTGTCCAGACACAGTCTTGAAGACCGGAGTAGGGTAGGGGGCGCAGTTGGTTGGCACGACGAAGGACTCACCTAGGCATACCATAACACACCCGGACCATAACAAGCACCTGACCAAGACTTTAACCATCAACAAAAAGACCGACGGCCGGCGCGGCCGAAGCCGCCCCTAGGCGTGCCCTAGCACTCGACTCGGGTCCTACGAAGTGGGAGTGTCATAAAAGACACATTAAGAAGGAGGCATTGCAGCCTGACTCTCAGACCACCGCTCGGCCATTCAATGCAAACACGCAATACTGCTCGACTGCGAGATCCAAGTTATCCCGTCAGTTGGCAGCCCTCCAAGCCACAGCTTTTAGTGCACCGTGGTAGCTTCAAGCGCGTCAGATTGCTTATGGTGAGGAACGTGCGCTGAGTCGTCGACCTCACTCGCCCTTCCCATTCCCAGGCCCCAGCCACTGTGCGAACCTGTTAGTCGTGGGGTGCGAACAATGGGCGCATATCTGACGACCTTGTCTGCGCCTGCAAAACACAAGATCTAGATCCCGAACACAAGTAGCAGAATTTCGCACAACAGGGGGTGGGCATCATGATATTTTTCTCGATAAGAACTCACTTGCAAGCGAGAATCCTTCCAGAGGGTATTAAAACCTTCACTCCTTTGGAATCAGCGTCAGTACCTACTAGATCTGTCCTTTTCGTGTACACGGCTGAACGCGGACTAAATCACACATAAAGTGGCCATTTTGTTAAATGAAGTTATTTGTGTTCCAGAAAAGGTGTGCGAAAAATATGGGAAAAATTGAGTTCGGGTCTACATCCAGTTTTTCGTGTCTAGAGGTTTCTCACATATGCGAGAGCTTTCTTTTCAAATTTATACCTTTGGTTCAGTCAAACAGAGAGGAAAAACGGTTTTTTAGTAAGTTACTGTCTTTAGGGCGTTTTTGGTTTAGGATAGTGAAGCATAGTTTGTTTACGGCATAACACGATTCAAAGGAAGGAAATGAGAACCACCGTATAAACAAGATTTTGCAACCCTGACTCTGTTGCAGTTTCTGCACATTACAAATTTTTCCTTTTTTTAAAAGGGAATTTCGAAATCTCACTGTCTTCAACATGTGTCCTTCGAGAGATGTCCGATCGGTGACCAGGGACTTGCCGGTCTGTCAGCCCTTTCCTACTTGATTTCGCTTTTGTCAATGACTAGTATTCAGGAAATGTTTTTGTAACAAGTTGTCACCGATCACATTTACAAAGATCATGCTTGAATTCCCTTAGTATTACTCGACAACCGCACTCTTCAAGGTTACTTGACTGTGGGACGTAATACGTCCCTCTATTTCGTTTTAAATGTCCGGCATAGAGCTACACCTGGTTAACTCCATCTCACTTTTCTCTGTCGACGATCTTTCCTGTTCTTAACATTTGAGAGTTCTTGTGCAGTCGGTTCGCAGCTGCCCTGGAAGTTCGGAAAAGTTAGCTGAGTGACGGGAACCCGTTCAAGCCCTGATATAGACTGGACTGTCAGGCAACGCAAAATGAACCGACTGTATGGAACGCTACAGCGCAGGCCAACAATCCGAGGCGGTCTTCGCATGAATGTGGAGAGCGTGGGCACAAATGGAAGTTAACTTTTAAAAAATATTCATAGGTGGGTGGAAATACACCAAAAATCACGTAAATTCGAAACAAAATACCTCTGTTACCTCTCCCCTATGCGATACTTAGCGAAGCCTTGGTTAATGGCAAACAAAGGTAGCTCCGAATGAAAAGCCCTATTAGTGGTCAACACGGGTAGTTTGTTCATCGTTGGGTGTCGACGCGCACATAGTACAGATAAGATTTCTGCCCGAGGTTACAGCTCAGAACAGTCGACGGCACCGGCGTAGATGCATGTAAAAAGTAACTTGAGTGGTAGAGGTTTGGCTTCCAGGCCCATTTGATTGGATTCAAGCCGCTGGTTTCGTATCAGCGCCGATCCCTGCCGATTAGCATAAAATTGTTCCAGGCAACTAAATACTCCGAATGCACAGATGCCCTGAACAAAGTGACTGAACGTCCTTTTCCCTTCAACGTTGACCGTGTCAACTATGCATCACGTTCAGAGTTGTAACGGTATTTAACATAGCGAACGGTTTTCCTTTTTTCCTAATTTAAAAAGAGAAAGACCATTAGCACTTCTGGTGGTCGAGTATCTCTCTCTCTCTCTCTCTCTCTCTCTCTCGACGTTCCCTATCCGTGCTGTAGTGCAGACAGTGAACGGTTGCGATACCGTGAGAGACGGAACTTTCTGTAACATCGAGCGATCCATTCAAGAAAATTTCAAATAAATTTAAACCAGACAGACCAATAGGGATAAGACGATAAGAGAGACAGTAAAATCGATATTGGGGTTGCTTCCTCGTTGAGATTTTAAACATTTATCATCACGAAATCTCTGATGTGCTTTAACCTGCTGCGACCAACCAGCAGTCATGATTTTGGGAAGCTATTAACCGTTGCAAAAATTTGATACTTGGAGACAGGTTGAAACAGTTACTAGTGTGTTTTCTGTAGCAATCTAACCTCTGTGACATTCCTACCCATCCTCAATGGAGCCTGGCACGTGTCTACTTATGAGCCAGGTTCTTTGAGGAAAACGTAGAATGACTATGTTTAGCTCTGTCAACCATGACGCTCATACCAGTCGCACTGGTCTTTTCTCGCCATCGGAGTGTGAAAATAAAGTGAGGTAGACGTAGCGCAGTTCTACTCCACGGAAAATAAATTCTTCCGATATTAGCCACTGAATCCAGTCGGTGGCACACTTATTGTGCATTGAATCCTACTTATTTATGACAGTAGACGTTATTTTGTACTTTATAATTCTCACGAGAACTTGATGCACATTTTGGTGTATTTAGAAATCTGCCACATCCTCCCGGGCGTGCCTACAGTCAGTACGCTTAACCTTATACGCTGTTCGATCTCCGCCGAAGGCATCCCTCACCTTGCCAGACTGATTGCTGTAAGCCCTAGTCTTATCTTCATACCGACGTAAGCCTTCGTATTTAAACTTCATTATCTGAAAACGCTGTATTGATACCTGTCTTTAGCAATAGTTGTTAAAAACCGACGACGAGGTCTCATGAAAAAACAACGTCATTCCTCTCTCAAGCAGTGACAGACAGAATATTCAAACTAATTGTATATCTTAACATGTTTCAAGTGTTCTGCTTCATTACTTTCGTTTGTCTGTCGCTCACGATATTTTGTATGCAAGTCAAGAGCCTTGTTGCCCTAATTTTAAGTGTCTGTACTTCTGGCCGCCTTCATGTTGGATGTAGTCCTTAAAGGAGGGTGGGCGCCAAACATCATGAATGTTGTCCTCCGGCCGCCTTGTCGATTCCCCCAATGTACTGAGCGGTAGAAAATATAGAGAAAGCAGGAGAGACGTTAGGTTCGAAGTTTTGAACCGAATTATTAGTTAGTAGCCCAAAAGGGCCTTGGCACTTGGATAGATAGATTCAACCTCCGACATATTGGGGAACGCGTTGAAAAGCTTACTGTTGAGACTGCGGAAAAGAAAGATGTATTCATAAGATTGCCTTTTAGAGGAGACGCAGAGAGCGATTTAGTCCGACGGCGCTTAACTACAGCTATCACGAGGGCATTCCTTGCGGCGAATTTACGCGTATGCTTCACAAACTCTCCCCTCCTACGTTTGGGAGGTAAAGACAGACTACCGTTGGAGGCCACATCAATGTGCATTTATTCATTCACTTGCTCCTGTGGAGCAGGATACATCGGCCGCACAACGAGACGCCTGGTAAAGAGAGTACGTGAACATATGCCCGCCTGGCTAGACAGAGGTGAGACCCGGTCGATTTCGAGTTCTATTCTCGCGCATTTAATCGATACGAACCACCGAGTCGATGCCAAGAAAGCATTTCAGGTTGTCTACCGGACACCAACATGCTTCTCTAAAGGCCTACGCCAACGGATACTAGCAACGGCAGAGGCAGTAGCTATACGGTTAGTGAATCCGGTGTTATGCTGTCAGAAAACTCTGACACAAGCGCTTTCGCTGCCGTGGCCAACGCCAACCCCAAGTGATGAAGCCATGCCGCCTCAAATCCCTAATCACGATGATGGGTACTCCGTGTACTCAACCCAAGATCATTACTCAAAGACTCTCTACCCCCCTCCCCTAGCCCTGACGACTAACACCCGCCGACCTTCTCATGCGGGCGGCGTGGGAATGATGAGTGTTAGTGACTTAATAGCCCTTGAGGCATCTATAAACACTGTTGATTTTGTACATTTTCATTCGTTCATGTAATTGTATTGGCCTGAGGAAGAATTACCGAAAACGTGCGTTCGCCAAGTTGACTTTTCAACTTTGAAAACTCTTCAAGCTCTAATGGCTGTAGAAATGCGACTCTGCGGAACACGTCAGGAAAAGGAAAGAAGAAGAAAAAGAAAAAGAGGAAGAAGAAGAAGAGGAAGAAGAAGAAGAAGAAGAAGAAGAAGAAGAGGAAGAAGAAGAAGAAGAAGAAGAAGAAGAAGAAGAAAAAGAAGAAGAAGAAGAAGAAGAAGAAGAAGAAGAAGAAGAAGAAGAAGAAGAAAAAGAGGAAGAAGAAGAGGAAGAAGAAGAAGAAGAAGAAGAAGAAAAAGAAGAAGAAGAAGAAGAAGAAGAAGAAGAAGAAGAAGAAGAAGAAGAAGAAGAAGAAGAAGAAGAAGAAGAAGAAGTATAGGCGACCTCGTGCCAAACTTCACGAAAGGTTTGAGGTTGAAGATAATGCCAGTATAAGTGATAGAATCGAACAGGCGAGTTCCAAGTGGCAGTTCAGAAGACTAAGATGCGATCACTGGAACCAGAAATTTATTGGCCTGACGCTTCGGATTCTCACTCTAATCCATCATCAGAGACAGTCGCAGATAAAGGTACTGGTGGCACAAAGAGTGCAGTATTTATAGATCGTGGCTGCCGTGGGACCATATGCGCTTTGTAATTAACAGCTCTCGCAATCACCGCTGGGGTCGTAATTGATGCGGTGGTGGCTTGTCAATCCGAGTCCGAGTCGTTAAGGCCGTGATTTCGTCATCCGTACTGGATGCTGCTATAACGATTGCTCGGCAAATTGGCTCACTGTCACTTGGATATTTGCTTGCCCGCGCACTCCCCACGTGACTGATTCCCTGGGCAGGGGAATCAGTCACGTGGGGACTGACAGGCCACCACCGCATCAATTACAACCCCAGCGGTGATTGCGAGAGCTGTTAATTACAGTACACACGGCAACCACGTGCTATAAAGACCGCACTCCTTGTGCCAGCACCACCTTTATCTGCGACTGTCTGGTGGTGGATTCGAGTGAGAATTCGAAACGTCAGGCCAATAAATTTCGTGTTCCAGTGATCGTATCTTCGCCTTCTGACCGGGATTAGGGTTATACCGAGGGTTTGGGATAAGGGAGTTAGTGTTAGGGTTAAAGCTAAGACAGAAGAATAGTCACTGCCTGGGATTAAGCGTATGGTCGCCCTTTGAACGGAGGGTGTGTTGATTCCGTGTCCAACCGAAGAGTGGATAGGGGTGACAAGAGGAAGGAGACCATTAAATAAGGAAGAAAGCGGCCAAATGGTATGTTACCATGAGTTAATACGTCTCAAAAGAAGCATAGGTTACCCAGCTTCCGAGCCCAGCCACTTAACAGGACGTCCTCGCCTCATCAGGCAAGAGTTTTGGCGCCGGACGGAAGTCTACCAGTTATCGTCGTCTTTCGTGTCCCCATCGATCAAAGCCTATACATGATTTCCTTTCTTGTGTCCCTGATCCTACCTTTCCAGTTTCTCAAACCGTGGTAATCTTACATTTTTGTTATTTTCGCTCGTCCTAGTCTTTTGATGTCTGGGAGTAAGTGGTCAATAACTCACAAATGCGATTCAATGGTCAGATGTGCGACGGCCACATCTCTCGCGTCTCTTTCACCACTTTGTCGTTGTCATGATGACAGTAAAGTCTAGTTCATATCCCCCCCAATGCTTGGTAAAAATTTTCGATGTTTGGTAGCCTATTTTCATAATGTGTTTACTCGATCTAGCAATATAAGTATCAAACGCCAAAAGGCGACATTTTATGTGTAGGTTGGGATGCAATGTTGTGTATTATGCAGAGCAAGTTCAAAGTATTTAAATCCTGCCTGGCGGCCGACTTTTGATCACGCCTTTTTTTCTGGCCGTCTGGAAACCTTGCACTCGGTAAAAGATGACCAATTAAGGACATCGGTAGGTCGAGTCAAAAATTATTCGGGAAATATAAAAACACATTTAAAACCAAAAGTTACCCTCACATTTACACAACACCTGACGAAGACGTAAGTTGCCATAAAACGGGTACAACAAAAATTATTTTCATGTATGGCCCTTATGAACGAGTTTGTAATAGCATCGAAAATCAATGAAAAAATAGGACGGAACACGGGACTGGTGCCCCCTGATATACGTCACTTTGGGCTTAATTCCAAAAAGGTAACCCATTCCTCTGTCCAACTCTAAGTTTAAGGTTAACCTTATCTTTGGCCCAGCCGCCATGAAAGTTAACAAAAGGTCCACTGTATTATGGGGATCTATTCCCCCGTGTCCAATCTTTTATTTCATTGACTTCCGATGCCTTTATAAACTTGCATTTGTTTATAGAAGTCACGCACAAAAATAATTTTTCCCCATTTGGTAGTAAATTAGGTATTTTTCAAATTCTATGCTTAAAGTAGGAGTGGCTTTGGATTTTAAAAATGCTGTTTTTTCGCGAGTAATTATGAGCTCAACCAATCGTTACACTTGCTTTTGGGTCTCAAAACCGCAAGTCGGAAGGACAGTCAGGCATTTCTGCATGCTATTAAGAATGACTCATAAAGTTATGCACTTAAGGCGAACCACGTTGAATACTTCGTAAAGATCATATATAACGATTCGGCAGTCGTTTGCAACGATGTCACCGTGTGCTCCACGGCAAAGCGAATCAATCACGGTGGCTTGCGCGCGAATTCGTGTATAGTGATAGTTGACTTGTACAGCATCTATCGATTTCTTCCCTCCTTCCCACCTGGATTCGGTGTCAAGACAGAGTAAAGTAGACCAGTGACGGTAGGAGGCGCAGGTGGTTGGCACGTCAAACACTCGCACCTAGGCATATCGTTACACCGATTTTGATCCCACTGAGTGGGATGGGACAACGTATATACATACATATATATTATATATATATATACTAAAATACAAATTATATACTAATAATATATACAAGACGACAGTTCGATCGTCGCGGACGATGATATCTACCGTATACCCCTCAGCATGCTGGGCGCGCGAATGATGACTCGCATGTGAATTAGTGTATGGCGATAGTAAACTTGCGCAGCATCTACCGCACACTCTGCACCTCCCCCACCTCGATCTGATATTTTCACAGAGTCAAGAAGACAAGAGACGGCAGGGTGCACAGGCGACTAACGCGGCGTGAACCTGCACATAGGCGTTTCACCACAAGTCACACCGCCAAGTAACACCACCGTACAAGCATTATGCTACTTGAATGGACATCCTGCGGTCTTAAAAGCTCATAATTACGAACGTTTTAAGCAGAAAGCAACCCCTTATTTGGGTATAAGATTGAAAACATATGCATGTTTTTCCAGTCTTGCTTACTGCGGTTCGACTCAGCTGTGAGTCTCCCCGCATTTGCCGTGTGCTTTATGCTATACACTTCACTTTTGCAAGGCTGATATTTTTTAATTTCCACATAAATTAATGAACAAACTTGGAGTGTACACATCAGAGGAGACCTTTCTAGGTTTAGTCTGAAATTCGACGTGATTATTTGAGCTTTAATATGTTAGCTACTGTGGAATAACCTCGCAGGATGCATGAGTTGCCAACAGGCAGACAATGGTATATATAGATATATATATATACTAGCCGGACCCCGCCACGCGTTGCTGTGGCTCAATCTGATGAATTGGGGAGTAAGGGAAAGAGGAAGGAGCACGTTCCCAATTAAGAAAAATGTAAGGGCCACTGGTTGGCGGTACGTATTGTGTGCGAAACCCAGGTTTGTCCTTCTAGACGTTTTCGATGGCAGGGCAATAGTTTGCTGCACCCAGTCGCGTTCGAGAATTCCGGAGTAAGTGGTGACGGCGGGCATTTATTTCGTCCACCGGTGTCGATCGAGGCAGTGGTGGCCTGAAGTCTCCAGCAAGCAGTAGCAGTGCATCGGAAATGGTCTGCTGTGTCCTCGCAAATCCTGCAGCGTTCGGTCAGGGACCTCGAGCGCTTTTTTGCGCCATTGTGCATTCATCCAAAACAATAGGTTTGCATTTCTGCTGTACTTTTCCCATGCCGGATGCTTTGGAAATGTTATACGCGGGAGTTTCAATGAATTGCGCATTCAAAGGCAACTTCGAAGCTAACTGAACGGATTTTCTGCCAGGTCGCAGAGTTGCAGCTATTCCGGGGATGCAAGTGCTACGGCTATGTCATTTATTAAATTGAATTGCCGGAAGAATCGGTCGTAGTAGGAAGGTTTTGCCAGTCCCACCTGGCGCATCTAGGAAGAAGATTCCTCCAACCTCGTTACTTACATTCCGCAGTATTTGATCGTAAATGCCATTCTGCTCCAGGTTTACCTTGTGAATGTTTGATTGCAGGCATGGCAGAAGTTGAACCGTGTTTTATTTTTGCGGCGACATTCCCAGTTGATTGAGAACTTTGTTCGCGATTTCGGCGTACATATCCTCAATCAATATTAACGCCTCGCTGTAGATTCCTGCTGTGCAAGCCGCATTTGAATTTTCCTTGCATAGTTGACGGAAGGTATCTTCAGCCATCTGCAAATTCTATTTCTCCAGTAAATCCGTTGGAGATGAGGAGAGAATGCGCTCAATATGACTGCAAACAATGCATGAATTTAATGTGGATGGGACGTGTTGCAGGCGTCATTAATACAAACGTCCCACTGTTGATCGTTCTCCAGTAATTGAAGAGCCTGACACGCACTGCTGAAGGTGGCATGCGTAGCGCCGTTGACAGACTTCAATTGCTGGAAAGACGTTGCACCGGGCACATTCACCAACACTATGCGAAGTAAGATTGGGATGCACGGTATGCAGTCTGCCAATCGCAGTTCCTTTGAGTATGCCGGGGTGTCCGTCCACTCGCTCTCATCGTTTGCGTTGTTCGGATGATTTTCTGCGCACATTCCCTGTGTAATGCGTAAGCACTTCCGAATGCGGCAGTGGTTTCGCAATCGCGTCACTTTGGCTTAAAGTGGAGAACGCAGCTGATATTGTTGCCAGTGGACCTAAGGCAACCTGTTGCGTGTTTTGCATCGGTGAAGTAAACGCATTGCCCATTCTCTAACTGTACTCCAAGCGCACAACACCTGGACTTCGCTCATGGATGGGGAATGAAAGAATTCGCCACATGGATTTCTTGCCGTTGACGCATCTTCCAGTCCAATACTGTGCGATTTCATTGTGTTGTATGTCCGCATCCCTTTATCTCCTTTCGCGTTGCAGGCCGAAAGCGGCCATGTCGCTGCCTTTATTCACGTTCTTACAAATGTACCTAATTCAATTCCCAAAATTGCAGTGTTCCACGTTTATGTGAACTGCGTTTATTTTTAAAAGCAAAGACGAATACGAAACAACCCAGCGGTTGGCGACTTCTATGTCACCGATTCGCATTCGTACGGTTGCCAATTTGCCGATGTCTTCCGCTGATCATTTTCGGTATAAGGGACTTCCGTCCATCATGCCCGGGGGGGGGGGTTGATGGATTGGGATTCAGTGCATCTAAGGTCCATGTAGCATATTCTTTGCCACAACTTCATGCAAGTCATTGTCGACGTCGATATCAGATAATTCGGCGCATCCTGCGTCGTCGTTTTCGTTGGAGGCGATCTTGTTATAGAACCAGATCAGGACATGTAAATGGGGCAGTCCCCACTTTTGCCGTTCCACCTAATACATCCAGCAGCGCACAGACCCAACCATTTCGTGTTTCATCATGAACTTCATCAGCGATTTCGGTTTTCTGCAGAAAAACATGTACTCTGATGTCATACCTATTCACGGGCGATAACCCGAGAAGTGAGAGCTGAAAAATATCCCCCCCCCCCCAAGCTGGATTGCATGTGAATGTAAAGAGTAGGTTTGGACGTCCGTACTGACAAACAAAAGGAATTGCACCTCCAGCGTACCCGGGCGTATGGCGTGAACTGTCTGTGTATGTGGAGAACAAAAATCAGTAGTCTTACAACGGAAGGTGTATTACCGTCGTTTACAACTGCATCATGCAAAGGAATATATTCTTCAGAGCGCAGTTTGGTCGGATGCAAATGAATGAAAAGCGGGCGTCCTGTTTCGATTTCGCATGCGTATTCACAATGCAGTGATGAAGCAATTGACGGCAGTTCAAAAGGGGTTTACTTACATTCTGTCGAAGCATAAGTCGGAAGGAGTAGTAGTTCATTCCACTAAATTTCGCGTGCATTTCCTCGTCACTGACTGAATTTATGATCTTAACGTTGAAGTGATATCCAACGGCACCATCCCGAAAAGTAAATGGATACTGTGTTGAAATCGGTATTGTTCATTCTGTTGCTGAACTAAGCAGGCCCGAAGATGCAGAACGCGGTAACCGTGACCGCAACCCGGCGTCCGCAAGCCGAGCTGCACTACACTGAAATGACATTGGGCGACAGCCCTATTATATGGGTTGCGCGGGATGGTGGGGCTGGTGTTAATTGCGTCCAGTCCTCACCCTCAAGATTCCCATAGTAAGCGGTGACGGCCCTATTATGTGGGTTGTGGGACAATTTTAAGTGGCGTCCAAGTGTCGCGTGTTTTTTTTGCCCAAGGGGTGGTTTGCTCGGCGGCCCATATTGCAGCGGCCCAGAGAGGGTGGAGGGCCTGCTCAAGTGCCTGCGAGGTGAGTGGTGGGGTGGGCACGGCCGTCGGGTGGAGCACGTGCGTTTGAGCGAATGTCGGTCAAGTGGCTCGGCGGGTAGACGTGTGGGCACAAGCGGATGTAGGTCAAGTGGCCGCACCAGGTGGCGTTGTTATGGCGGAAAACATCCGGTTTTTTACCCATCACAGGCGTACCATCGGCATAATTACACAGCTGACCAGCCAAAAACCCGGCCCTATGCGCGGGTCGGGTTGTGTCCAAATTTCAGCGCAATCGGTGCAGTACTTTCGGAGATTAGATATAACACAGAAAAAAAATCCTTCCATTTTTATATATATAGATAGATTTGTCGCATAGTTCACTACAATAAAGGCACAGGTACTGTTTAAAAGCCCAGGCACGTGTTTGGTGGTATTTAGCCACTACATGATATAACTGTGAGGAATTCGGCTCATCAGTGCGTTCCCCAGCGTCTGTCATCTGCTTGCCGGTAATATATTGCAGTTTTTTCATGTTCTTTCCTATTTACGCCAGTCATCTAACCACACCCAAAGACCTGGCGAGACCTCTACCCTCCTCCGCGTGTTTATTCCGAGGGGTGTTTTGAACGCGAGATGGCAGCAGTTTTTAACTTGTGCTTTTTTCGATCAAAATAAAAATTATAACTTACAATAACAAAATAAGTCCGATGGACTTTTTGGAATGATAAGTGGTAAGGGATAATTAAGACCTCGCCAGAGCAAACCATCATTTCTCGCAACTGCAGATGCTTTGTAGGATAAGATATCTGAAAATGCATGGGAAAAATACAGGGACATTTAGTCCGAGATTCGGGCAGAAAGGTCTCGAAATAAACACCAACAACAGGGTAGTGGACGACGGCAAAGAGTAATTCAAAGTGGTAATTTCAACCTTACTGTCGTTTTTGGTGAAATTCCTCAGACTAATAAGGCACTTTCTCCAGCGATCCTGTCTCCCTTTCCGTGACCACTTCCTGGAACTCGCCTCTTGGCTTCTATTAGCCAATCATAATCTCGACCACCACCTGCGACCGGAAGCACAAGCATGTGCTCGTATACGACGCAGACGGTCCACAGCCAGCGTCTCGCAGACGGGTCATAAGCACTTCATCGATCCGAAGCTCATCAATGCCCCGCCACCTGTAATTCTCCGTCATCGGAGGTCGGATAGCTATCCAATCAGGAATGGACGCACACCGATCTATGGGTCTCCTGAGGCGAACAAGCTCCGCATGTGTGGCAGAGGTCACGAACAGGTAGTTAACTAGCAATCCTGTATCAATCTACGCACATTCTCCGTCGTCTCACACCCCTCCATGCTATCGCAGCCTAAACGACTCCGATCTGGTAGTCGGTTGCCTGTTCATGAACTTGGCCACCCATACGGAGCTTGTTAGCTTCGGGAAGCCAGTAGATCAGTGTGCGCCCATCCTTGATTGTATTATAATATGCTAAGATGGAGGCTCGTTTTTTCAGAAACATCAGGTTAGCTATAGCCGTGTCACAAGGGGACGGAGTGGGGGGATGGGGACGCAGGAACATGGACACAATTAATCGATACCTGCCCGCGATAGACGCGGAGCGTGCAGAGGTTCCTCTGCGCGCACAGGACGGACCTTCGTAGCCTGATTACGGTCGCTTCTGTCGTTGCTAATAGGCGTTGACCCAGTAGGCTAGGATAATTAGGTGGGACCTTGTAAATCACACGGAAGGCTTCGTTTTGATCCACACGATGTCCAGAATCAACCATGTGTACGAGGATGGAGCTGCGCATGGTCTTAACTTCACCCTTCCTCAGCCATGCCGGCAGGTGTTCTCATTTCCTTACGGATAGACGCCGACTCGTACGACCAATGTACCCTGCTCCACAGGAGAAAGTAGAGGAGTAGATGCACATGGAGGTGGTCTGAGCTGGTAGTCTTTCCTTGCCTTCCCTGCGTAGGACAAGGTTTGTCGCGAACAATAATTAAAGTCTTGCTGCCGGGAAGGTTGCGGTTCAAACTTTGCCCAGGAGACTGAATATGTTCAGTGCTTGTTGCCAGTGGCAACTTTCGGCCAGGAGACAGTAAACCCTTGTGTTGTACCCCTTTTGGTGACCATGGGCGATCTTGCATGGATATAGCCATTCAGTATACCAAATTTTACAGATTTCAGTTTTCGTCAATGGCCAGTAAGATTATCTATCAAAGGTCAGCATGCTTTGAAGGGGAGGCTGTACTGAGTGAAAACATCTAGAAAGAGCAAGACCTCTAGTTCATGATGTCCAACGTCCACTGTATGCCTGTTGACCATTTAAAGGATGTGCAACTTAGTTGATGACAGTCGTGATATTAGATCGCATGACTGCTTACCGGTCTTAAGTTAAATATACTTCTACTACCGTAAAGTAAACTTCAACTATTAGTCGTTGGATGTCAACCAACTGGAAGTCTTCTTTCCATCGGATCTTTCATAATTTGTTAGACTGGCTCCAGTGAAGCTTTAAAGTCTGCATCGTTATTATTTTTAAAGTCGCCGAATGCGCAATGTCTGCCGTTTTTGCGGCTAAGATTCCGGCCCGCGCTTTCTAGTCATGCAATTCTGGTTTTCTTAGGATCCTTGCGCGTACATATGTCATTACCTGAGGAGAAAATCTATAAAACTTAATAAAAGGAAAGGCATGATAAAAAGGCCTCTACTAACAGGGGGCAGAGTTAAGTTTAGAAACAAAAGGTATCTGTGGAAGTACTCTAGGTTTTGGCAATCATGATTGAGGCGTTAACCTACCGAACTACCTCAATCAAGCTCTGTACGCGGCAGGCCGACATACAGTAGATGTGCTAACTCATGAAATGTCAACCAAAATTTCGAAATGCGTTCTCGTTTCGAAAAGATAAATTAAGTAGTGTTGTAAAACTAAACAAGATGCATCATAAATCTATAATGATCCAGTTACCTCAGGGTGTCGGCTTTCGAAAGAACTTATTTTCGGCTGCATGCAAGATCTATTTTCTGCAAACAATGACTTCTTAATTAGTATGCAATTTTCTCATTGGTTTTCGTTGCCCTTGAAAATTCAATTATATTTCATGGAAAACATGCATCAGCATATTCATTCTTTTACTTATTCGGTAGAAAATCACGTTTTCCTCCAATCTCATACTCAAAAGAAGTGCATAATTCGGCTTTAAAAAACCTTTCTGATTTACAAATAATTTTGAACCCGACCTGCTGTTACACTTGCATCCAGGGTTTCAAAACTACAAGTTGTATATTTTCCATATAGGGCAAACCATGCATTTTTCTACGGTGTTAAGAGAAGACCATATGAGATTCATAAAATTAAGCAGTAGATTTGAGCAATATTGCTAACTTAACAAGCCACATTCGTAAACGCAGATACATGACGTTTCATGAACGGCCATTTAACGGTATTAAAAAATCTCACAATTAGAAACTTTTAAAAACCGAAGTATACTCTTCTTTTGAGTATGACGTTGGAAGAAGACGTGATTTTCTACCGAATAAGTAAAAGAATGAATAGTTCTATGCATGTTTTCCATGAAATATGATTGAATTTCCAAGGGCATCGAAAATCAATGAGAAAATTGCATACTACTTAAGTAGTCATTTTTGCAGAGTATAGATCTTGCATGCAACCGAAAATAAGTTCTTTCGAAAGCCGACACCCTGGGGTAACTGGATCATTATAGATTTATGCTGCATCATGATTAGTTTTACAACACTACTTAATTTATCTTTTCGAAACGAGAACGCATTTTGAAATTTTGGTTGACATTTCATGAGTTAGCACATCTTCTGTAAATACGTTGATGCCTATACAGAAGTTTTAGTCGCCATGTTCGGTTTTGAGGAAAATTCATTTGAAAAACCGGCTAACCATGCTGTTGACAACTGCATAGCGCTCTTCTTAGAACCTCGAATAGTAAGAGCAAGGATGCTTGCGGAATATATAACACCTCAACAAAAATTGTCAGGATTTTTAAAAATGCATTCAGATAGGGTCGAGCGCTTGATCAAGTTTGCAATATTCTAATTGAGAATCATCTAACCCGTGCATTTGACCCCACTCAAGCGAGCACATTTAACTATTGAGGGAAGTTCAGTTTCCTTATCAGACTTCAATACGCACGCAAAGTCAGGCGTTTTTGCTTCAGAAAGAATTTAGGATAAGCTTATTTCTTGAGAAGGCTAGACGAACTTATGGATTCGTGATCACTATCCTGACGCCCACAGGCCGGCCCCCTGGTGGAGATTGTGCTGATATCGGACCTCGCAGGGCTGGCGCATTGTTGACATTAAGTTCGGAACGGGACAGCGGCTGTTATGGCGGCGACCAGACTGGCGTCGCGTGACTGCGACAAGGAGGCGTGGTGGCGTATCACAGCAGTTTTCCGTTTCCGCTGTTGAATTGCTCCCGTGCATGTGGACAGGTGCGGGTTTTTACCACTTGAGCTCTCGTCCTACGGCATCCCTTTCAGTGCGTTACCTTCTGAAGGCCGTCAAGAGTTGCAGGGAGAACTACGCAACGTGCCAGGCCTCCGCTATGTCTGCGGACCTGGGAGCCTTAACTCAGCCCTAAAGTGCACTGTCCAACGTATGCTGCCGCTGTCACGATTATCAATGCTTGTTTGCATTTTCATATCAGTCTCTCCATTGCAGTTCCCCTCAAAGGTACTGGCCCCCGCGGCTTACAACGGCCGGCCTCACAACAGGGAGTCCATAGGTCTCATAATCTATGGTCGACCACGAACTCTAGGGGTCGCAGAAGAAGGGCGGTTGCCAACTCCTTTCGATTTCAGAAGAATAGTTGGCGAGTATACGTTTGCTACAGATAAATTCCCGTCAGACCAATACATGAGAATGGGACTGAGTGAAACTTTTCAGCTGGTAGGACTTCAGTCCAGATATTTATACTGAGTACCTGTCTTAGCATGTTAGTCTAAAATAGGCCGATTTAATCTACGGTAACGACTACTATCTGAGTAAAGTAGAAACCCATAAATTTAAAACTGAAGCATCTACCAGAAAGCACACAGAGAACGCTGGGGGACCCACTGATGAGCCAAGCCCATCGCAACTGTGTCATGCAATGGCAGAATATCGGCGGAACACGTGTCTAGGCTTTTAGCCAGTACCTATGCTGTCAAGTATGGCACATCGGGCAGCCTACGAATATCAGTGATTAGAGAAAGTGATTAAAGTTCGCCCGAAAACACAGGCCGAGTGTGGGAACATGGGGGGAGGGGAATAATAGGAGTCAATGCCAGGAGGTGGCTGAGACCGGAAGGGCGCGGAGGGTTTCATGCAGTTAGTCGACCTTATACCATGGTAAGCGCGAAGCAGGAACGAACATCCTCTGCGCGCAAAAGACCGGCTCTCGTAACCCGATAGCGGCCGTTTCTGCTATTACTAAAAGACGCTGGCCCAATAGTTTAGGACAGCTCTATGGGACCGTATGGATTACACGAAAGCACACAGGGAACGCTGGTGCAGCCATTGAGGGGTCCAACTCCTCGCAGATGTACCCTGCAGCGGCAGAATATCGGAGAACACATGTCTGGGCTTTTGGCTAGTACCTGTGTTATCAAGTATGGTATATCACATAATCCACAAAAGGTTTGCTGGTATCTACACGATGCCTTGAACGAATAACATGTTCCAGAATGGCGCTGGTTATGCTCCTAATTTCTCCCTTTCCCAGCCATGCCGGGAGGTGCTCTCGTATTTTTTTGAATTAGCGCCGACTGTGCACTTTTTCATGCTGCGTTCCTTTATCTGAGGGTTTGTTGTCAACGCTCATCTCCAGTAGTCTTCTCGCTTAATTGTTTGAACACTGGGGAGTTGAAAAAAGTAGGTGAAGTAGATGCGTCGAAGGTCCACCCATCAGAAAATGCCCATGGTGCAATAATGGTTCACATCGCTTATGATGGACAGACTATCACATATTTGTCAATCGTGAACAGGGGCCAGGAGTACCAACGGTCCAATAATTTGTCATCTGCTTTTCGACAGAGCCCGTTTTGCTTACATTAATCACTCGTCTCGATTTGTGCCTTATGACCCGGTCTCACGCCCCGTCATCAGTCGCAAAGCGGCTAGTAGTATACACAGAAGAACAAGATGATCGGTGAGCGTCCCTCTACCATTGTACTTATTTTATCGCAATCGACAGGACAACAAGCTCACGGATCAACAGTTAGGGAGATGAACTCTAACCAACAGGTCAGGACTTCGAGCCTCGAGGGTTATGCACTTTGGCATTGGGTATGGCTGACTGATGACGGTCAACAATCCGGAAATGACTAGATCGATCTCCCGTGTCTTTGCCGGTAATGTCGTTATATCGGATATTTGTCAGTCATAGACAGGAAGTAGGGGTGCCAGCGTTTCACTCATTTGTCATCTACCTTCCGGCAAAGCCCATTTTTTACAGTTATCAAGGGACTTAATATAAAAATGCGTTTGTGTGCCAACTACAGTGACTTGGAAGCCAGCCTGTTTCGCTTATCCTCCGGTATGCCATCGTCTCCGGGACCAGCTTCTAATTTTGCTGGTGTGGGAACGGTCAACCACGGCTTCACCCCCAAAGCGAAATCCGTATCCGAAAACATTACAGCTCCTATTCGGTAGCTGTGTGACACCAGCCTGTAGGTAATACCAACGCGTCAGTGTTTCTAGTCTTAGAAGTACCATCTCACCGATGAGAGTGGTGTTTCCCCAGTGGCAGTCTTACCCCCCCCTCACTGCCTCCTTAGTATGTGGCACAGGTATGAAGAGAGAGGTTGTGCAGTTGGCTGAGGTGTGCCCGTTTCAGTGACCTGTTCTCTAGCGGGTTTTATGAAGTCAGACACCGGGGCATCGGTCGCATTGATTCCCGGTTCCGCAGACTTCTCAAGATGATACACTGTTGTGATAAGTGCTGAATCTGCGCCCAAGGTTAGAAGGGTTACTCACTGTGTGTCCGTCAATAGTGAAGACAGAAGTCTGTTGTCCGGGCATCCTACAGCGATTCGTTTCAAGACAAGAGACCTAGAGACTTGATAGTCTGCCTTCCCACAACGTAATTAAGAACAATTTTCTGACAGGCCAGACCCTGACGCTAAATTCTCTTTTCCAGAAGTCCTAAAGGACAGTCTTTACTTAGGAGCTTGACACAGGGGATAGGTTCGACTCCGTGGCAGGATAATGAATAGGTCCCGGAGTGCCAACCTCTAAAATCTGACCGATGTTATTGCATCAGCTGTACCAGGGAACGAATTCCCTACTCACAAGATCTATGCATCATTTATTTTAGGTGCGTGTATAAACGTACCTGGGTTCCCCGTTTGAGAGTTTTAAGAATTAACTTGTGGATTTCATTGTAAACGTCCAGTCACGCGAAGGTCTCGGGATTCTCCTAAATAACCTTAGTTTGCGAAGGTTGGCCAGGGGCATAGGTATTTCAGGTGGCCTTACAAGAAATTCCTCGGGGGAGAGGGAAGCTACTTGTTTCCATGTCCTAACCATCATCCTCCTGGAATTTAGCGCGATGCTACCTGTAGTACAGAGGAAGTACCTGTTATGACCCGGCCTGATACTTAGGAATCACGCGCAGCGTATGCGCACTCGATTTCTGTTGCCAATACCAACGCGGCAGACAAGGAGAACACGACCGGCCACGTAAAAGTGTATAAGGAAACTACAAGCCAAGTCCAACTGGAAAGATAACGCGTATTTATAACATCCTGCTGGGGTTCGTAAGCATTCGGCCCAATACATTTCGAAAAGAAAATTCTAGGCGAGCTGATCAATACAGATCGATCAGGTTCGAGGGGAGCAGCCAATGACGAGGCGCCACGATCATGCTGACAGCGCGCTAGAGAAAAGGCACGTAGCCTCCAGTGATTGACTGGCTCTTGTTTTTGAGAGTGTAGGCACTCTCAACACCTCCCCTCCAAGTAAGTCAGTACGGCTTTTGGCGTGTTGATCGGCAGTGTTGATCGAAGCACGCGATTTGTCGGGCGACTTAGTCGTGGTTCGTCGCCTGGAGACACGGGGACAACGAATGATACCGAAGGCCGTACATCCAAACGGGGGACGGGGGGGGAGGAACGAGGTGTGGCATACCGGCTAAGACTGACAAGGCTGCGACTTGTCGACGGTAAATCACCTGCTTACAACTACTGACATTCGGTCATATTCTTACGCAAAAGAGCTAGAGTAAATGGCCTTGTCCAAGTAATCCGACAGTTGTTTAAGACCCATTCGTACCGAAAAGTCTTGAAAAAAGTGTCATTAAAAAGTGCCAGATTTAATTGCCACAATTCGTACTAGGACATACGCGAGAACCGATGCGTCCCACAAACTTGATCCTTTGCCTGTTAGCATAACCTTGTACTACCCTACCGAGGACAGCGCCATGGTAATATGAGCCGAAATGCTTAAACGTTCCTAGACGCTGGTACACAAATTTTGCCACTGAACAGTCCTCACCTCTGCAATAGGGATGTCAGCTACCCATCTCAAGTCCGAATATCCGACCGGGGCTCCGAGAAGTCAAGATTCCGGGGGAGTTAACTCCCACCTCGCCTTATACCTCAGCGAGGTAGGCAAATTGTCGGCTAGACACACTTGAGCGATGGCGAGCAAACCGCGAACTACTTGCAGGGGAACCAGTCAATGACCAGATGGCTGTCTGAACGGTCTTTTTACTAACATCTCTGTCCTCTCACTATACGCACCAATATCAGGCGCTTCCCCTTCTACTCACAACTCTAGGGACTGAAAAGACTTCTTTACCGTGATCAGCCGGTTTCTGCCGGGGACTGGAATGACCAGACTGAGCCCAACGGCCTCCTAAACAGTCACCTTCTTGACCGATTTGTTCTAGTTCTCAATGCAGTAATTGTGAGTAAAGGTTGCACCTGACTGACCGCAACCGGCCACTCGTCCCCGACACGTGATTTCATCGTCATCGACCTGGTATTCGAACGTGCTCGTATACAGACATACAGTCCGACGGCTTTCCTGTCGGTTCAAGCTTCCGTAATTTTGTTCACGACAGCAAATCGATGTGTGACGCTGAGAATGGAAATGTCCACGTGTCAAGCGATATCCACGTTCGCAAATACCTCGGTTTTCACCTCTTATCGACACCCTAATTTTCTTGCACAAGATGTGCTGATGCCACAGTTCAGTGTTGATGCGTTTGGTCCGGCACCGCTGCTTACCAGGAGGCTTCAGAGGGAGGTCAACTCGGAACGCGGATCCACAAAGTTTGTCATGACACGGATTTGGCAGGGTCCCAGTGACTCAGCGGGAAGAGCAGCCGGCGCGAATCTGACGGACTCGGCTGTTCGGTCTAGTCTCAGGACGAACTCGTTCAACCTGGATGGGTTTCGCACCCCACAGCCAGTCAGACGGGAACCTGGTGGTAGTTTTTACACAACACAACACAGCTAGAAAGAATAGCAGTATGTAGTTGAGATGAAAAATAAATGAGAAGGTGATGTCTCTATCAACCAAGAGCACGGAGGGTAGATGATACAGGTATCCCAATCATCACCACCACCAGCAGCAGATGGAACTTTCAGACCTCAAAGTTCTGCAAAGTACCAGAATTGACAAATGTAGCAGTAAACTCCGGTAGAGCAATGGACTGTCCTTGACGTCCGGAGTTGACAGAATGCAAACTGCAGAAGTTTACGTGTCTATTCGTGGTATTGTTGTTGGCAATGATTACCTGGCCGGGTGCATTTTCCTCCTCCTCCGGTGGCAATTCAACGGTCATGGATTCCTCCGAGATGTCATCGAAACTGTCACTGAGTGAGTAGCCCTCACTCATAACTACCGCCTCCTCGATGTGCCGGGCTCGGCTGGCGTGACTCAGTACATCACCAGAGCTGTCTGCGCGCAGGGAAAACACCTTGTTCTGTTTCTTCAGAAAGACCAGGCTCACCAGAATGAAGATGATAGTCATCACCAGAAAAATGCTGCCAATAACCACCACCGCGAGAAAAGGACCCTCCAGACTGTACCGACCATGCAGTGTGCTGTTTCCGGCATTGACTAGACGGCCTACATGCTGGTGAATGATGAGAACGCTGCCGGTGGGGCTGCTTGCACAGGTTCCCACTGGACAGAGTTGGCTGGAATCCCTCCGTGTTGGCTGTTCTTTCTGGGTTTTGTTCTCCGTACTGGGCAAAGGACTGGTGGTGGCTCGTCTGGCTTTGGCTGCCGGTTGGGCTAGGAGATTGCTTTGCAGGTAACCTAGGAAGGCAAGCGGTCGAAGGAGCCTCCGGGAGCACTGCAGCGGATTGCTTACGTAGTCTTTCATTTTTTGACTGTTGGGAGATTTTCTAAAAGGAAGATAATTATCGTAGGCAGTCGGAAAAATTTGCATCAGAAGCCACCAAGATACAGGCAATGGGGTTGGGCTATGGGAAAAAAAGAGACAGTCTCAGGGCATTGACATCGCTGGCCCAGAGGTTATGCGTTCCGGCTCCGGGAAGGGGAGGGGGAAGGGGGCATTGGGGGAGCAGTCATCGTGGAGGACAAACTCGTCCCCCCTGTGACTGTCGTGACGTTCTGGCTGCAGACAACTTCAGCCTCATACGACCGCCTTTAGCGTGTCTTTTCTCCTTGCGTCATCATACTTAAAAATATTTTTTGAGGTGGCGGCTTTGCGTTTTTTCGTCTATGCTGTAGACTTACAGTCTGCGATCCTTCCGTACAGCTTACTGGCCCAGCCACCCCTCACACGCAAGGGAGGCCCGTGAGGCAGCTGCCTGCTTTGCTTTTATTCACACAAACCTACTCGACAGGCAAACATATGCTGTAGCTGGCGGCTTGACACACGGGAACCAGGCCGTTTATGGCACACGTAGACGGGATGTCTAGCTCTGCTAGCCACTGCATCCGAGCACACTTGAGACTGTCTCTCCGTCGGACCCCAGTTGACGGAGATAAATAGAGTGTGAAAGATGCTGCGCAGGCCTGCCATCATTGGAAACTCCTTCACGCATACGACGGACATCTGTCGAACTTTCGCCCCCCCACCCCAGCTCGTTGTCGCAGTCTTCAGACGTACTGTTTCTATTCATACATTGGTCGCGTCCGGCCTCCAACTGTTAGAGAAGCCGTTCGATGCTGCAACTTTTGATTATAAGTAAAATACTCTCTTAAACAACCTACAGTGTATGACAGCTGAGGCTGGCAATACCCTTTTTTCGAGTATAAAATTTGAAGAAGAAATGATTTTGCTACCAGATGTACGCGAGAAAGAATATTTTTGTGTATTTTTTTACAAAATATTTTTGAATATATAAAACCATCGGAAATCAATGTGAAAATACATGCTACATCAGTAGTCATTTTTTGCCGAGTGCGGTTTATACAGGCGGCCGAAAAGAGATGCATACAAAGACCAACATCCTGGCGTGTGTGAAATATCCAAGGATGATGTCACACGTAAATCAATATTACAACGTCATTTGAGCAATCCTTCCTGATCGAAAAGGCAGTTAAATATTTCCGTTTAACTTTCATGAGACAGATGGCTGACCGTACATTGGGAACCACACAAATGACATGTTTTTCTGTTATGTCTCACTAATTATATAAAGTGATTCGTTCTCCCTAGGCCGACCTTTGCATGACACCTCGATTAAATTCGTCTCCGCATTTATATTTATTGCGTTATTATGCACTCTGCTAGAGGAGAACGGAGTTTTCTTCGGTAATTCTCACAATAAATACTTGAATTCTTGTCAAGTTCTTGTGGTATATACACAAGTCAAGGGACTACCTTGAGTACTTAAGATTGCCTTTCGGCATCGACTTTTTATACCTGTGGATTGGCCTTTCAACTTTTTTAAGCAGGATTAATAAACATCTATTTTCCCCTTTGTATAAATGTTTATAATTATGTAAGACATAGTTCATTAAATCTAGTTCAAATTTAACTGAATAATAAATTTTGAAGCAGAGGAGAGGGTTGTTTAAGCCAAAGTGTGAAAAACTCAATGCTCTCTGACGAGACCTCGTGGCTCACGTAGTTACAACAGTGGTTGTACTTAAGCCGCCCGCTTACTCTCGTGAGTTCGAATCCCACGGAATCCTCCGAGATTTTCACAGTCGTGTTGCCAGTCAAATTGTTCCAGCGCACTGAAATACCTGTTAATTCAAATTACCTGGCAAACATCTGGTGGATTCTATACCTATTGCTTAGGAAAAGTTGGCGAGGCAGTCAAAAGGTGTAACAGAATAGGCGGATTACATATGTAACAGTAAGCCGGGCGTGTTATTTGAACCAAACGTGATCAAACCCACGGCTCTCGGTCGGGGCCTCGTAGCTCAAATGTCTATAAACATTGTTATCCTCAAATCTGACCCTTGTTGTCGTAAGTTCGAGTCCCACCGAGACAGCTGACTTCAGTTGACTTTTCCACATCAGCAAAAACGGTCACTAGTTCATATACATTCGGGGGGGGCATTGAAACGTTGGGCTGCAATCAGATATCCGTCAGCGTTTTAACCCCCAAACAACCCGGAATATTGCTTGAGAGTAGCAAAAGAGGACTTTGGGAAAGCCATTTAGAGAAAGAAAAGTTGGAGAGATTAAAGGCATATTGGACAATTAACGGAGAACTAATCATTTATGAGATGTGTTCATAAAAGAGCTGTTCTCAAGTGAAGCTTGTTTGCTTTCGCCCCGGCACTTAACGAAGGTCTCCGCCACCCATGATTGAAATTACTTCGTGAAATAGACTAATGATAACCCAGACGTCCATATTAGCTGTTTCTCAGACCAGCCGTATTCTCTCGAATAGGTGTAGTTGGCACTGAGTTGGGTTTGGGCCATGAGTGAGGGAGGCAAGAGAGAGAATTTTTGAGGAGTTGCGTACGGATATGGCAAAGAAAGTAAAAATAACTCATTACTTATTACAGCAGATGTGCTATCACACGGAATTTTAACTTAAATTCTGAAATGTGCTTTCTACTCTAAAAGATTATTTAAGTAAGGTTGTAATAGTTATTATCATACAGCGAAGTCCCAGCATATATTTTAGTCCCGCCAGCATCCCGGCTTCTGAATGAGCATATTTTTGACCGTCTGTAAAAACTACGCTCTGTAAAAATAACTGCTTATTTAGTATGACATTCTCCCATTGATTCTCGATGCTCATGTAAATTAACTTAAATTTCATGAGACAATTGCATAAAATATCCTTTTTTTGTACTCATGTGGTAGCACATTTAGCCTTCTTAAAATATGATACTCGAAGAAGGGGTGCCTTTTGTTTTTAAAAAAGTCTCTTTTTACAAGATTTTTTAAGACCATGAAATCTCCATTCATACAACATCACATCGACACGTTTATTAATGCCCCTTATGAGGTATGCAACCCGGCTCGCATCCACTGCATAATTTTATGAATGCTATATGACGTCGTCCTAATGGCGCATTGAAATGCGGGATATTTTTTGACGGAAAGTATACAGCATGTAGTTTGGAAACCCTGAATGCAAGCGTAACGACAGGTGAGATAAAATATATTCAGGAATTGAAAAATGTTTCTCTGAGTATAATATTTGAAGAAGAAGAAGAAGAAGAAGAAGAAGAAGAAGAAGAAGAAGAAGTAATTTGCTACCAAAAGAGGACAAGAAAGAACGCTTTGTGTGCACGTTCGCCACAAATTATAACTGGATGTTTAGAGACATCGAAAGTTAACGAGAAAAACCCATACAATATAAATAATCATTTTCACAGGGTACAGCTTTTTAGACGGTCAAAAAAGCTCATTTAAATGCCGAAATCTTGGTGTTAATAAAATATTTCAGGATTATGCTCATGATAATCGATGCTAGAGCCATACATAGGTAAGCTTTTCGCTACAAAAACACATTTCAGAATTTCGGTTAACACTTCATGCGACAGCACATCTACTCTAAATCTCTGCCAATAGTCGTACCAACAAGTTGTTTACGAAACATATCTATAAATCATGCTATTAACTAGACTGTTCTCAGCAAACCTGACCTTTCATCATGAATGGCAAGCTGCCGTTCATGGAACGCATTTGTTTACGTCTGGTATCCCAATTGTTCCCCTGGAGTATGTTTTTCTGCTCGCAGAAATGTGCGCTTGGGCAAAAAGATACGAGCATTTGACAGACGCAGGCCTGCACACAGACGTTTAGGCAGCTTGTCTGGTAGACATTTGCGTGTTAAAATCCCCCCAAAATCAGCAAAACACTAATTTTTTGCAACAGAGTAGTCACCGAAAGTTAGCCTGCCAAGACACGAGAATAGTGAACCCCCCTCGTAAAGCAGACAACCTTGTGTTAAATTTCGGGAGGGGTATCTTTCCCTTGACCTAAATTTGAGCCAAACTCTTGCCCTAACAACAACTCCAACCATAATCCCGAACTAAAACCCAGCCCTCATCTCCCTGAAACTTAACGCAAGATCGCCTGCACTACAGCAGATCTCCTATCCCCGTGTCATGCCGTTAGCCTACACAAAGGTGCCCCAGGTAATCGAAAGATCTTCATTGTGAGAACATGCAGTAATCATAACCCTTAGGCAGATCGCGCAGACTAAAGGCCAATTCGAAAGGACTCTTCCGCGTTTATTCTTCAAACTGCTAGGCTATTGAAACACTCCGAGTGGATCGCCATCTAGTCAGTTTGCTCCCAACGTCTGCTACTCGAGCAAACCCCGAGAAAAACTTCCAGGACATGTTCTAAACTAAAAACACCTGATGCAATTTCCGTACAAAAACTAAATTTTCCACTTAAAAGGAGATGCAAACAGCGTCAGTTCAGGCATTCACTCTGCGTGTTAACCCTTTACCCAAGAGTTGATCCCGAACCCCGCAGTGGTTTCATCTGAAGAAACTATCTAGGACTTAGATTCACAGTGGCTTAGTTCGGAAAGCGACTAATAACGGATAGGCCGTTGCGAACGACGGTGTCCATCCTGTGCCACGCAACGTGACCGTGGCTTGCGCGTGAACTAGCTTATAGTGACTGCGGACTTGCACTGCACGCACCGCGCACTCTTTCCCCCCTCACTCACACCGTCCGGTGTCATGACAGAGGCGGGTTCGAACGCAATGACTGACAGGAGTAGAACGGCCCATCTACGCGTGTTTCACATGGACTGGCCTCCGCAAACACCCACGTTTTTCACACAAAAGACGGTGAACCGCTCAGATCTCACATGCATGGTACAGACGTGTTTACTCCATTTCAACATATCTTCCCTGTAAAAAGGCCACTTGCTACATCAGGTATATAAAATGCCGAATATAAAATGCCAGCGGTATGCACTG